AGCATGTTTATTTTAGTGATTTGTCTTAGAACATCACCGGGACAATTCGTATTTATACTTATCCTAAGAAAACCACGTAAATATTTACAGCAAGTATTAGAAAACAAAAAGAAATTATCTACACTTATCCATATTTACTTTCTATTTTACTGTAAGTACAACTATTTGGGGATCATTATGCTATATGCTTTATGAAACTGTGGATTGTTAGGAAGATTTCTATCCTGTGGAATTATGGGTAAGATTTCATAAAAGTAAGAGCATAATTGAGAAAGTAAAATGCAATCATCATTCACAGACTAGATGGTAAAGCTATTCTTCATAAATTCTCCATATAGAGGTAATAATATATATTCATCATTTCAAATATTTCTCCTTTAGTGGTGATTGATTTGAGTCAGTCCATATCTCCACTGGATGAGAATAGTCTCTTTGTGCTAATTTAACAATTCAATACATATTTATTGATCAACTACTCTATGAAATGTACTATGCAAAGCACCACAAGATAACAGCAACAACAACAAAAAAGTGATTAAGTATGATATAGTCCTTACTTTCCAGGAGCATAAGCTCTAAAAAGACAGAAAATATTGGAAAAATCAATACACTACGTACTTAGACATTCTAAGTATCGGTGAGAAAAAGTAATAGGCAATTGGAATTCAAAGTATAGGGCATGACCATGTGCTTGGTAGGAGCAGGGAATGGTTCCTAAAGATAGTTATCATATAAAATGACCTTGGGGATTCAGTAACATTTCAACAGGTAAAAATGAGGTAAATGTAGGGAATTCAGAAACCTTGTAGCCCTGAAGGCAAGTACCTATCCCCATGCCCAACTCACTTGGTTGTTTTAGCTCCCTGCTATTGCAGCGTAAACACAAAAACAAAATGGAACAAAACAAAATAAAACTTGCTCACCTTTTGTTAGAAGCTAAAGATCTTCATTGCTGAATAAGAAGGGAAGATTAATGAAACCATATTTCTGTTATCTTGGTAGAGGACCAAGAACCTGGATATTTTGAAAAAGGTTTGCACATCCAGAGGCATTTGTGGCAAATACCATTGATTGTGTAGTTACTGACCCAGGAGGATCTCCAGTATAGACAGCTGGACTGAGCTGCCTGCTGCAGTTCTGGGAAATTCCAGCTGTGATTTTAATACTTGTTGTAGTAGAAGGAAGTTGAGCTCTTGGGCTGAGAACAGGATGCTTACACTGCACCTGAGAACATGGAAACTTCTTTTACATACCGTAATAGATGGTAATGTGTGTGTGTATATATAACTGAGGTTAAGTATTTCATAGAATAGTTGGAAGATGAGCTTATACAATTCTTATACTAAAAAGAATAAATAAAAAAAATAAGATATATCACATAGGAGAAAAAGGAGAAATTGATGTACCAGTCTAGAAGATTCAGTATCTCACTAGTAGGAGTTCTAACAAGAGAGAAGAAAAATGGAGAGCCATTTATCAGAATTGAAGAACATAAGCTTAGAGACTGAAAGAACTCATTGAGTACCCAGTACAACACATGAAAAAAAAAAGTACACATATGCACACATGTGCGCACACACATAGGTACATACAGCATTGTGAAATTTCAGAATACCAGAGATAAAAAGGGTAAAACACAAAATGACATAAAACAAAACTAGGTCTCATGCAAGTAACAGGGATTCTCAACACCAACATGTGATGGTACAAAACATTGGATGGATTAAAGCTCTCAAAATTCTGATTGAAATCATTTTCAACCTAACCTTCTATAGACAGCCAATCAATCAAGTATGGGGGTAGAAGGAAAAAAAAATCCCAAACATGTAAAAGTTCAACACAATATCACATATGTAATACTCTTTCAAACATATAAATCTTAATATAATTATGAAAATAACCAGATAAATTCAGAACGTGGGACAGTCTATAAAACAGCTAGTCAGGACTCTTCAAAAAATTCAATATTATGGAAAACAATAAAAGCCTGGAGTACTATACTAGTTTTAAAAAGACTAATCAGATATAGGGTTGCTAAGATTCAGAATCAACTCAATGACAACGGGTTTGGTTTGGGTTTTTTGGTTTAATCAGATGTAATGAGCAAATGCAATTCATGAATCTTGTTTGGTTTACTTTTTTTAAATAGTTATAAAAGATATGTTTAGAACAATTTCAGCAGTTTGATATATGGACTTTATAGTAGATGATATTATGGAATTATTTTTAGTTTAGCTATTTAAGGAATAATAATAATATTGTATTTATGTAGGAGAATGTTCTTGTACTCAGAAGATGCAAGCTGACGTATTTATGGAGGAAATGTCATAATTTCTGCAACTGACTTAAAAATGGTTTAGAAAAAAGGTATATATAAAGAGAGATCATGCAAATGGAACAAAATGTCAACAATTGGGGAGTCTAAGTGAAAGACAGATGAGTGTTCATTGTACTATTATTTCAATTTTTCTGTATAATTGAAATTTTAAACCCAAAAAATAAAATAAAAAAGCTGGAGGGTGGGGAGCTAGAGAGAGAGAGAGAATCAAAATATTTAACTCCAATACATTTCTTACTATGAAATAACTGGAAGAGATGCTTCAGCAAAAAATAGGAACAAGAACAACAACAAAAAGATGGACTTTGATAAAAGGCAATCAACACAGAGAGTGGTGAGGGAAGTCTCAGGAAAATCACTCTGCCATCAGACCTAGAAACCCATCCATCTAGACTAGAGTGCAATGATATAGTTCTCTAGGAGAGAGGTCACCATGTAACACAAAAAGAAGTGATAGATTATCTGATGTTTTAGAATCTTTGGAAATATTATTGCTAGCTTAACTTAATTATTGGCAACAATTGGAGAAAAATAGTTCTAAACATATAGAAAACCAAGAATATCATAAATTAGCAATTCTTAACTTTAGGAGAAACAAAAGTTTATATGAGAATAAAAATAGAATTGTATTAATATAATTGGACCAGCAAGAATATATTATGTATTATTAATTATTAATAATGTAAATATTTGACTATTTAACAAAAAATTATGATGAAACTATATCAGGAGGGTGAGTGTAAGGAGAAATATGGAGAGGAGTCTCTAATAGAACTAAATCCTTAACAACCCTAATAGCCAGTCAATAGGTAATGACTAAAACTCACAAATCAAACAATATTAATTTAACTATATTACTTAAACATACAAAGATACTGTAAGTATTAGGTGGGAAAGCTAAAAGAGAACTGGAAGTTGGAGAAGGATAAGAAAACGAGCTGCTGTTTTAGGGACATAAACCATTTAGTACTATTTGTATACAGTTGGCATGGAAGACTTTTAAAGGATTAAAATCAACTTTAAGATACACCCACTGTTCACTTATTGACATGGTTAGGTTCCAAAGACCAGGTCGTTCTGTGAAAAATCAGCATTATGTGAAAATGGAGGATGACCACATAAGATCATAAAATGGAGGCTGACAACATCATTACATAACTGTCAAATTACGCCATTACATAGTTGCCAAAACACTGAGAATCATGGCCCAGCTAAACTGACACATAACCTTATCCATCACAGCCAACATTACTCTTGCCTTGCACCTCAGCATTTGTTACTGCCAGATGTACGTAGCTAAAGTACAAAAATAGTTGGGTAGTAGATTTTTTACTATAGTAGTAAATGTGAAATGTCAGATAACGAAATAGTCAATAAGTGAGGAATTTAAAAATGTTTATATTGCATAAGAATCATTGCTCAAAACCAAATTAGGGCATTCAAAGATCAAATGGGGAAACTACCGCATACTGCAGAGCAAATAGATAATGGAATGGAAATTATTAATGAAAAAAATAGAAGACATGGAAGTCAGACTCATAAAATCTAATATATAAATAATAGAATTATGAATAAGGTAAAGCAGTAAATGGAGAAGAAAGTCATAAAGAAATAATAGAAAGAAAAAAAACTTCCTTGAGTTAATGAAAAAAATTATTCTTCAAATTAAATGGGCTCAGAAGTCTTAGGCAAGATTAATGTACAAACTTTCACACCTACACATTTTCTGCTTAAATTTCTAAACAAGATAAAGAGAGAGATTTATAAGCATCCAGACTGAAATGAAGTTATAGATTGATGGGGTGGGAGGAGAAGTGCGTTTCAAAGAAAGAGAGGCACCAACAAATGTCCAGAGGCAGAAAAGCTAAAGGTTTGTTCAGAAGTAGGGAGTAATCAAGATGAATGGTTAAGATTTAGTGAGAAGTCAATGATCACAATGGGAAGTAAAGCTAAATCACTCACAGAGTGCTTGATAGATAGATGGACTGTGTAATTGCTAGCCTGCTTCCACATTCTGCATTGACAAATCTGCGTTAGTTTTGTTAGGTTATTTAGTCAGGTAATCAAACTGACAACACAACGTCATGTTATTTACAAGATTTAAAAATCATAGAATGCACAATATAAAAGCTATTTAATTCATGTCTTTCTTGCTTTCTTTTTTTTTTTATTTATTTTATTTTTACAGCAATAACTACATCTTTTTTCCTACAACTTAGGGATCCTGAATTTCACAGTTTCAATCTTAATATTGATTTTTATTAGGAGAAGGAAAAAAAACTTCCAGTGAGGTTACAAGATAAATATGTTAACACTATCATTAGATTATCACAACTGTTGTTATCTATAATATTTCCAAGAGAAAAATTTATTTTCTTAAACAGTGTTCATTAGTATCTATCAAAATTTGAAATAAATCCCAGAGCAGGTATTGGTATTTCAGTGATATGCTGAGTTTAATTAACAAACATTAATACCTGATCTATACAATATTATTCTTGTTTATGTGGGAATTATTAGTCTGGTGAAATGCAATACATAATAATTTAACAAAGCATAAAACTAAACCAATGTCCTGTTGTATAAAGTCCTTTTTACCAAAAATGGATCAAAGTTCATCAGATTGATTGCTAATAAGTCTTTCTATCATTTTCTGCCTTAGGGGTATGATGATGGCTATGGGGGTGAATATGATGACCAGACCTATGAGGCTTATGATAACAGCTATGCCACCCAAACACAAAGGTAAGACATTTGCTGTCTAAAGCATCTTTCCCAGGATTATCTCTAATCCTGATACTGTGTTTCTTGAATCTGAATATTAGTTATTTTATGTGAGAGTTTCTAGTAGTGTTTCTTCTCCATTATTTTTCTGAATTATCAAGTTGCTTACTAAACTGTGAGAGGTAAAAGATAATGATCTTGCAATGGCTAATAATGAAATAATAGTGTATTATTTTAAGACTGGATGATTGTAATGAGTTGTATAACCAAGCAATTTATTAAACAAGCTTGTATTTAAATAACTACTCCTGTTACTTCTGGTGATTTAGTAATTTAAACAAGGAGTCCTGGTGGTGCAGTGGTTAAATGCTTGGCTGCTAACCAAAAGGCAGTCTGAACCCACCAGCCATTCATGGGAGAAAGATGTGGCAGTCTGCTTCCATAAAGATTACAGCCTTGGAAACCCTATGGGGAAGTTCTACTCTGTCCTATAGGATTGCTATCAATTGGAATGGACTCAATGGCAATGGTTTCTGGTTTGGGGAGTAATTCAGGCAACAGTGAAAACAAGGCACTTGTTTATTTTGACTTTTCCCCCCTAACGTAATTTTCATGTGTAAAGCAAAAAAAATTAGGAAATCCTATTGGTTCTCTGAAAAAAGACAAATTCTTAAAACATTTTAAGGAATTCCTTTCCTTTCTTAATGGATTTCTTAAAATTGTTGAGTATATCTCTTTAGATTAACTCATAATTTGTGACATAAATGCATTTTTTTACCTTTTTAAAGTCAGATTTATTGATGCACTATTTATATACAATAAAATTAGTGTACAGTTGTATGAGTTTAACAAATGCATACCATCATAAAACCACAACCAAAATCATCACCCTAAAACATTTCCTTATGGCCCTTTGGAGTCAGTTCCTCCTCCACCCTTAGGCCTTAGAAACAATGATCTGGTTTTTGTCACTGTAGCTTTGCCTCATCTGGAATGTCATATAAGTAGAATCAATACAATATGCAACCTTTTGAGTCTGGCTTCTTTTACTTAGTGTAATGCATTTGATATTCATTCATGTAGTAGAGTATATCACTATTTTGTTCCTTTTTATCACTGTGCAGTATTTCATTGCATGAATACACTACAGTTTGTTTCTTCATTCACCAGTTGAAGGACTTTTGAGTTGTTTCTATTTTTTTGCAATTATGAATAAAATTGCTATAAACCAAATGCAAAATTCCTGGTAAAATCAATTTTTTTTAAGTATTTTTAATGAAAAAATTACAAAGATAATAGGAAAGTAAAAGAGATCTGCTTAACAGTTGAATAATTCTCTCCTTTATGTGACTTACAGAAACCAATAGAACTAATTGTTGCAAAAGCATTATAGCATTCATAATTTATTGCTCAACTTTATTAGTACTCAAAGAGATTTAGATGCATTATTAAGTAAGATTTGGGGGTAGAAGGGATGGCAAAGAAAGAAACAACTTTAAGGTCATTTATGGAGTGGAGAACATCTACCTGTACTCGGTTAAGTGCGGATTTTGCATGACCTGATGGACTGCATGGTGAAAGGGCTGAAGAAAAATTCTCTTTAGAAGGAGTACTGTGGGCAATTACGAAAAAGATAAATGTGAACTGATAGCTTTTAAACTAAGCACAACTTATGTTATTATTATAGAAATAACCACCTTCAACTTTGAGTAATTGTTTAGTAGTAGGCTAAGTAGAAAAGCCATCATTAGCCAAGAGCTTCTACTTGGGGTAATATCTTAATTGTCCCAATTGCGTATTGGACTCGGTTAACACAGTTATTTAAGATAATAGGGGGAAGTTTTGTATCACATCATAGTCACTGAACAGAGTATTGTGTGCAAATTGGCTACATATTTATAACATCTGCTAATATTTTCAATCAGATTGCTACCTCATCATTGTACATTAGTACACAAAAAATAATGATAATAATGATTTATAACTTTTTTCAGAAACCCTTTGGTAGAAAACACAATCACCACACACTACAAACACAAACACAAACATAAATCAAAGGATGCATTGCATTGGGCAAATCTGCTGCAAAAGACCTCTTTAAAGTGTTGAAAAGCAAAGATGTCACTTTAAGGACTAAGGTGTGCTTGACCCAAGCCATGGTATTTTCAATTGCCCCATGTGCATGCAAAAGCTGGGCAGTGAATAAGGAAGAAGAATTGACGCCTTTGAATTATGGTGTTGGCGAAGAATATTGAATATACCATGGACTGCCAAATGAATGAACAAATCTGTCTTGAAAGAAGTTCAGCCAGAATGCTCCTTAGAAGCAAGGATGATGAGACTTTGTCTCACATACTGTGGACACATTATCAGGAGGGACCAGTCCCTGGAGAAGGACGTCATGCTTGGTAAAGCCGAGGGTCAGCAAAAAAGAGGAAGACCTTCAACGAGATGAATTGACACAGAGGCTACAACAGTGGTCTCAAGCATAACAACAATTGTGAGGATGGCACAGGACCGGTCAGTGTTTTGTTCTGTTCTACATAGTGTCACTATAAGTTGGAACCAACTAGATGGCACCTAACAACAACGACAGCAAACCCAGCTAAGATAGAATAAAATAATTCCTTGATGTATCCATGTAGGCTATATTCAGCTCTGTAATGGCAATATAGAAGAATTTTGGGAAAAATTATCTTGTTATCATGAAGTGTAATTTATATGTAAAAACACATTTTCTATGCACTTCTGCTGCCTTATTTTTTCCCTTTCTTATCTATTCAGTTGTCCAGAGCTAAACTCTTCCCATCCTTTCTGACCTATCTCAAAAGCAGCTCGTTCAAAAAGTCTTTCCATAATCCTTTATTTGGGATTAACCTGTCTCTTCCCTAAATACAAATAGCTGCATATCTTTACTTCTCTATGGCACTTTTTCTCTTGCCTTGGTGTTGGGACTATTTGAGTACACATCTCTTATCACCCTTAGCAATTGTCCATCATCCTTTTCTGGTATACCCTTATGTCCTTCACATTACCTAGTATTGGATTTTTCACAGAGAAAGTGCCGAGTAGATGACTGTTGAATACATGAGTGTCAGACCTAATATATACCTACACTATGGGGACACAAAATAAGAGCCTCATCCCTCAAAGAGAATACAATCTACAATCTTGTATGTATCATATTTACAGGCAAAATATTTCTGTGTTTCTCAGGTACTTCAGTGCTAAACCAGAAGAATGAGAAAGGTTGGCCATGAAATTAGTAATAATAATGTAAATATAGTATAGCATAATAATGATAAAATATCTATTTTCATCAAAATCATATCCCCACTACTAGTATAATGTTTGGCACACTAGAGGTTCTCGATAAAGATTTGTTTAATAAATTAATGAAAAATGAATGAATGTGTTAATGAATGAATGAAATTACCACAATTATTCCAGAAAACTGTATGGAAGAATTGTTTAAGAAAAATGTGTAATATAAGTAGATAAACACTGTGAGAATTTAATAGTATTAAATCCCTGTCTTTAGATTATTTCTGTTGGTCCAACTATGCCAGCAGAAGGTAGGATTAACAGTTCAGTTAAATGAACACTTTTACTGAGTGATTATGTGTGCCAAGTAGCATACTAACCTCACAGTGAAAATACTTATATTTTATGTTTATATATATATATGAATATTTGCTATTAACAATTTGATGAGAAGTTTGCAAGCTGTATATATTTAAATAAATGTATTGCAAGTGCAACAACTAGAAGTTAATCAAGTACTTAGGAATTAAAAGTGAGAGAAAGTTCATTTTCTGTAAGAATTGTCTTTTTTAAAAGGTGGCTCTTTAATTGGACTTTGAAAAGTAAGATTTAGATTGCTGGAGAAATTGTTCTAAAGAAATGGAATAAAGAGAAACATATGAGCATAAAACTCCTGCAGCGTTTACAAACAGCGTGAATATTATTTTGGAATTGCCAGAGCTTGTTGCAGTCAAAATCAGAAGAAGTGCTGCTTTGGAATCTTGAAGGTAAAACAATAGAATATGTGTGATTTAGCAAAACTGAGATAAAAGGTAAAATCTTTGGAGGAAAGTGTTCTTTAATTGACTCATTAGTCAGCACAGGTGAATACAGAATTTGTGGAGATTTTAAAGTAAAAATTGGATGCCTAAATGGAAAAATTATATCATCCTCAATAAAGATTCTGGGAAAGTTCACAAGGTAACAACCCTACAAAGGTTCACCTGGAGTTCAGAAGCTATAACAACTTAAGTGAATCCCCAGTTGTCTTGTAAGATATCATTAGTTCTGGGAAATTTCAAATGGAAGAAAAAGTAACTTCTCTAAAAAGTCCTCAGGAGGCAGCTCAACTGAGTGACATATTAATGATGGGTAAAGATGACAATGGACATGAGAGTCTCTGATCACCTTTTTCTCTTGCTCCATGTCTGTTAGGAGAAAAAGTAAGGAAATAGATTGATGATTTTATTATGCAAGCTTCCAATTGCAGTACTAGTATTGTAGTTTTCAGGGGAACTCAATTCCTTGAAGTATTTGGCTTAAGACAGATTACATCCTATGATTAACTTCTTTAATAGGGCCAAACATTTAAATTCTGTCCATGTGCTGATGCCTCATTTTTTATGCACTTCTCAACAGTATTAACACTTTCAGAGATCAATCTTCTGCAATCATGTAAATTCACAAGATCTGGCCAACATTCAATGTCCAAATTTTAAGCAAATACCTGTAGCAACCAAATCAGAGATGTAGAAAAATGAACTCTCATTTGTTGTTGTTGTTACATGCCATAAAGTTGATTCCAATTCATAGTGACCCTCTATAGGACAGAATAGAACTGCCACCATAGGGTTTCCTAGGCTGTAATCTTTATGGGAGCAGATCGCCAAGTCTTTTCTCCCATGGAGCTGCTGGTGGGTTAGAACTGCTGACCTTTCGGATAGCGGCCACGTGCATAGCCATTGTGCTACTAAAACCAAACCTGTTGCCATCGAGTC